AGTCTCAATTGGAAATTGGATTAATGGGGGAAGGGTAACATAATTTACAAAATATGCACAGAGAGGGATTAATCACCCTTACCCTGACCCTCCCCTTTATGGACTGCTGCCTTGTTGTAGCAAAGTGGCTTGGGAAATTCAGAAAAGCTGTGGGCTATGCCATGCGAAACGGCAAAGCCACTGGCAAGGGGAAGCGCTGCCAGGTCTCTAGCAGCAAGGAGTAGGCAAGAGAAGCCATGTTCAGAAGAACAGTTTGTGTTCTTCAATGTTCCATTCATGTTCAGGACAATTCATGTTTAGAAGATTAAATGTTAAAGAACTGTTAATGCAGACATTTGAATCTGAATACAGCAGACAGAAGAAACCACATATAGTTGCTCACTAGAGAATTATTATTATTATTATTATTGTTGTTGTTGTTAACTGATTTATTTATTTATTTTCTTATTAATTCTTAATTTCTTTTTCATTCTTAATTTGTTTATTTTTAATACAAAATAAGATAAAAATAAACAAATTAAGAATGAAAAAGAAATAAAGAGATTTGAGAAGACTGGAATATTTTTTAACACTGTAATGATGACTTTTTTTTAAAAAAAAGGATAATAGGGATTTAGTGCTAACTTACATGAATGATAAAAACCATATGGAACTGAAGACTTCACATTGCAGATGAAAACCACAGCAAAGGGTACTCTAGCTGCCAGATGTTACTTCTTTCCCTAATTGTAGTGCATCATTGCAATGCCCCCAAAAGACCCTGGAATGATAAAAGATTTTTAAAAATAGTGATAATGATCTTGTGCCAAAATGGTTTGGGATCTGTGTAGCATTCTCCATTTATTAGATCCATGGTTCTTGTTGTATTATGTAATGGTTTATGAATATTCATGTTGCTGAGAGGCGGAGTCAAAAGAGATGCTATAAGAGGCGGGGTCAGGGAGTCAGAGGGGAGATTAAGTGAGATAGAGTCAGTTAGTTAGAGAAATGTAAGAGTCAGGCAGGAGAGAAAAGCCAGACAGAGTAATAGAGTGTGTAGTTTGGGAAATTTAGATGTGATTAACTACTGAAGATATCCATGAATCAATCTATGTAATCAATAAACCAAAGTTTTATTTAAAAGAACTTGAAGTGTGGACCTGAATCTTTCTGAAGTCAACGGTGATTTAGAGATCACCTGGTGGCAGCAAGTGTAAAAG